TTTTGAACTGCGCTTGTGATTCTTTATATATTAGATAAAAAGAGTAAATTATTGTTTCTAATGTCTATCCTCAAAATTTTGGTTTAGGGTTTATCAACCGTGCCTTCCGACGTACTGCCAAAAGCGTTTCACGTTTCCAAAAGGTCAAAATTCTGCTTGATTTGGAGGTCGCTGATTGGACGTTGACTCTTCCCTGTCTGACGATTGGCTGTTTGATAGCGCCCAAAACGGTGATTGGCTGATTGATTCTACCTAATCAGCAATGCAATGGGCAGGTTCACACCGTACCGGCATAAGTTTTCAGCATTTGAAAACGACAGAGAGGCAATATGTACGAGCCTTTCTAAGGACAACTACCACGAGGCTCTAACGCGTTGAGGGGGTGATTTGTTGCAAGTGTCCGTGCTTGATCTTCCCTGTCGGAGACGAATATCCTCTGCCCAAAAGAATTTTGCTTTCAAGTAGCGAAGCTTTCACATCTTTGCTTTTATCCGCTTTGAATTTTGCTGTATTACGGTGATCAAATCGGAACTAATCGATTTATCGATTTTGTGCTGCACGTCATGTTCATAGGCTCTTTTTACCTCTATACAACGCACGTCGCAGAGTTAGATCACAATTATTTATCTGCTGATCTGCTCTCGGTTTTTGCTTATAGATCTTTATGAAATTCAGTTAAAAAGTCCCCACAACTTCCCTTTTGCCTACTACCTCCAAAGAGAGCCGGAAAATATGCCTAGAATAATTTGCGAGCTGACTTCCGTAAAAGTATAGATTAAAATAATGAGTTTTCACAGACTTTATCCGTTAACGATAAGTCAGCAAAAATTGCTCAAAGCACTTAGCCTGAACCTCACCTGTAACGACGACGCAAAAATAGCAGCATTTTTCGTAGCAACGATTTGCTTTGCAGCTAATTTCACCACACGATCGTTATGAGAACAGGCAGCCAGTTGTACCGATGTTGACCAGAGACTACCTCGACTTTTCAGCTGGGCTTCTAGCAGGGATTCCTGGTACGATTTAGATTGAAGAAAAAACTAGTGAAGCATCAGGTAAGTTTCTTACCTCTTTGGAGACGTTATGGGTGAAAAAGTAGTGACATACAGCTGTAACTTGCTTGTGAATATCATCATTGAGCGAGTTTGGAAACATCATCCAGCGCTTAGCCTGTAAATCAAATTTTTTTCCAGAAAATTTTTTGCTTGGGTAAAAGGCCTCTTTCGGCAAATACAATAGTTTTACTGAATTACTTTTACCTGAGCTTGATGATCACATGTGGCAAGATTAGTTAGACATCTCAAATGGTATAGCTTGGACAGCCTAAAACATTAGATTTTTTTCCAATTTCTTCTTTCCGCTCAGGACTCCCTTACCTAGTTGGATCTATCAACCACATCGCTGCCATTTCCGTATCTGTTTGGCTTTCGTCCAACAATCTATCAAATTGAGCTACAGCTGGAGCAAGATACAGTTGAAGTTCTGGCATATCCACTCCTCGGAATGAATCGAAAAGTCGGTGAATAGCACTTATTCCAATAAGAGACACTCCTAGCTCGGTTTCATCTGCTAGATACCTGAAAAATTGCACTAAAAATTTGTCGTGGAGGTTAAAAACCCATTGGCTCAAAAATTTTCTTCCGTTTTGGATTGCGATACTATGGTCATCGCAGTAATCTTACAGTAATTTTAGTTCCTCTGAAAAAGTTGAGCTTTTGAAGTTGTAAGTTTTGTTCGAAGTAGCCTTGAATCTTTGAAAAATGCTGTTTTTAGCATTAGAAATCTTTACTCCGGA